GGCTGCAAATCATCCAGAACTCTACAGCCCGTGTCCTCTCCCGCACAAGGCTCCATGACTCTATCACTCCCATCCTCGCCCGACTTCACTGGCTTCCCATCACACAGAGGATACAATTCAAGATCCTGGTCCTCACCTTCAAAGCCCTCCATGATCTTGCTCCCCCCTACCTCTGTGACCTCCTAACCCCTTACCATCCTGCTTGATCCCACCGCTCAGCGAACTCCAGCTTGCTTCACGTCCCCAGCCTCGCTCGCCCCACTATTGATGGATGGGCCTTCAGCCACTCTGCCCCCACTCTCTGGAACTCCATCCCACAGTCCCTCCGGCCAACCCCCTCCCTTGCCACGTTCAAGACCTATCTAAAGACCTCCTCTTCGACCGAGCTTTCACTCATCCTGCTTTCCCCCTTGCCCTCCACCCTCCCCGACCCCCAGCCCCCATCTCGGGTCCAAATCTCTGTCTGTCCAGCACCTTTTGACGTCCTCCCGACATGAAAGGCGCTATACCAATGTAATTTTGTTGTTGTTTTCTTTGGGAAGAAAAAAATAATTTTAACACATAAAGATACTCTTCCAGAACGGTGCTTTGATTGGAAGAATGATGTTGGCAACATATTGTACAAATTATATTTCAAATGTTGCTTCTGTTGTAAGACGACTGGTGAGGGATTCACACCTTCAATCATACAATAAATTTAACAACAAAGACTTGAGCAATGGTGCAGAATTACGTATGTCGGTGCAGAATTAGAGATGTCGCAGGCACTGGGAATAAGGATTCATCCTTCTTGTTTCTTGTTTAAATCTGGAAACCAAAGCCCTAATGGGTAGAGTGATCCCAGCTGGTCAAGCAGCTGGAAGTTTGCCAGACAATACTCCCACAGCCAGGAAGCTACGCGGGTTTAGTTACCCCAACGCACACTCTGAAGTCCCCCACAACAAGAACAAAATTACATTCGTATTGCGCCTTTCCCGTCTGGAGGACGTCCCAAAGCACTGGACAACTAGTGTTTCGGACCCAGGAATGGGGAGGGGTGGAAGGCAGGGTTGGAAGGAGGGTGATTTAAGGTATGGTCGAAGAAGAGTCTTGAGGTGGGTCTTGAAGGAGGCAAGGAAAGGGGCGAGGCAGAGGGACTGCGGGATGGAGATCCAGACTGTGGAGGCAGAGTAGCTGAAGATCCGCCGGCATAGTTGGGGCGGGTAAGGCGGGGGACATGAAGCAGGCTGGAGCCCACTGAGCAGAGGGAGCGAGCAGGATGGTAGAGGGTTAGGAGGTCACAGAGATAGGGCGGAGCAAGACCATGGAAGGCTTTGAAGGTGAGGACAAGGATCTTGAACTGTATCCTCTGTGTGATGGGAAGCCAGTGAAGTCGGGCGAGGATGGGGGTGATAGGGTACGGAACCTGGTGCGGGAGAGGACACGGGCTGCAGAGTTCTGAATGATTTGCAGCCTCTGGAGGGAGGAATTGGAGAGGCCGACAAGCAGGGAGTTTGCAAGTCAAGCCTGGATGTTATGAATGCATGTATGAGGGTCTTGGCGGCCTGCAGTGTGAGACAGTGGCAGAGCCAGGCGACATTGCGGAGTTGGGGGAAGGCAGAGCAGGTCATGGCACGGATATGGAGTAGAAAGGATAGTTGAGGGTCAAACAAGCCGCCAAGGTTCTGGACTGGCTTAGCAAGGTGGAGTATGCATCCTTGGATGGTGATACTGTCAGCACCTGAGTTGTGGAGTTGTTGACCTGAGCCAATCAGGAGGGCCTCGGTCTTGTTGATGTTCAACTGTAGAAAGTTAGCTCTCATCCAGGACTTGGATGAGAATTGCGATACCACTCCCTAGAATTGGGTAAGCAGGGTGTGTCCTTCCAGGGGATTGGTGCACATTTTATTCCAGATATGGAAATTTCCATACATATGTGGAACTCAGTCTGGTTTGGATACTCAAGCACGGTGATGGATTTTCGCATGTGTTAGACACTCAGCTTCCCCAAAAAATAATGTTATGGGCAATAGGGTGTTCCTAATTTGTGCGGAAAGAGACCACAGTATTTCTGTTTTTTTTCATAAGTGCATATTTGTTGTTTACAATGACAGAAATGCTTGCATCAGCTCTTGAATGATGGATGTTTTTTTCTGCTGCACTGATCTCAGCATAGAGATGCAGTCTCCTATCTGCGATCAATGTGTGGTTCCAGGAAATTGCTTTACTGATCAATAAAACTGACTGATAGGGTAATTGCAGACCAATTTTTTCTGTCCACTCTTCTTTTCCAGCTAATTGTAGACACTGAGAACCTGAGGTAGATTAAAATGAATGAGAAAGTGGGAAGATTTTTAAAAAGAAACTAGTTTGCGATTTAAATAAAACTGTAGCCACAAGTTCAACCCACAGTTATTAAATTTAATTGAAGAAATTTGCCTCAATGTTGTTTTAATGATCGTTATTACTATTTAGAAAATACTGTATATTAAAGCTACCCACCACACACACACACACACACACACACACACAACTGCACTACTCTGACCAAATTAATTTACTTGAAAAAGGGGATGATCTGAAATATAGGCCTAATTTATTCATTCATTGTGAACTGAATTTAGGTCAATATACGTTGACTTCGACAGACAAAATTAACAACAAGTCATCCAAGTGGCAAGAACCAATTATCCATCTTAATAACCGATCCACGCCTCTTATCTGACTGGAAAGTGTTTTGGACCAGCTGTGCAGGCTACATCGTGAGCATACGATCCACTTCTGCCTGACTATCTGTGGCCTGGCCCATGGTCCTGGCTGGTATAGAGCACAATAACTTTCTCGGTCCATTGCAAACCGCGCCAGCAGTGATGGCTGGTGACCTGTTTTGATAGATGAGGCACATTTCCTAAGGCAATCTATGAACTTACCTCACCAAGCTATCTTGGTTTCGCCCACAAAATACACAGTCAATCAGCTTTACAGTGCATCCTTTGAAGCACTTTAGATGTCTCAACATCATCAGCAATGTCTTCATTTGGTGCACACATTGAATCCATGTAAACCGGTGTCGGAAATTCTCATTGCAATTAGCAGATATGGACTATTTCTATATTTCTGGGGAAAAACTAAAACTAAGCGCAGCAAAATGCCCAAATAGCTGGGACTATGTTAAACCGTAAGTTGGGCATCAGAATTAATTCAACATTGTTAATGCCGAGGCTGTACACAATTTTGAGGAATTACTCTGGTGAGATGATTAAAAGGCATTAAGGCCACAATCTGGAGTCCTATGTTTCTGGTAAACACTTGCACAGCCGAAACATATGCCGTGCCCCACAACATGCCCATTCCGCAAACTAGTAGTAGACTATTGGATGCTCGAAGGGGACAAAATCTTTAATGAAAAGCATTTGGTTCCACCTTCCTTCTACTGTTTATCCTGATCTTTCCTTCAAATGGTTCCTATGTATTGTACATTCCCCCCAGTGGAATGCTTTAGAGAGAATGCTGCTCTGTAAAACAGCCCACAGCATGATCTATCTCTAGTGTTTTTCCTGCAAATCACAAGATACTGTATTTCTCAATTGAGTATTGTGTAAATATGCATTTTTTTTTTNGAAAATTCAGAAAAAAACAAAGTAAGCTTCCCCGGTTGCTCCTTATCCTTTGGTTACTGCTGTTACCATGGATACTAATTTAAGGCATGAGTCTTTTTTTTCTATGCACTTTCCAGCATGCCGGGTCATTACATTATGTCTGGTATTTATACACTGCATGGAATACAGAGCCATCTCTCTAAATATCAATATATACTGCAATTTCCGTTCAGCTGATTTGTCTGTTGTAGTCTTCCTTCCCCGGGGCGTATCATCTTTATGTGATTTAAATGAAACATTTATCTGTTGTGGTTTTCTCACTAAAAACAGTGGGGAAATGTTATTTCGATAACGTATCGATACAAACCCAGCGATGTGAGTGAGATGCTGCCCACTGATATTTTTTTGCTGGACAGATCTATGCAGCATAATGGTTTACATCATTGTATAACAGCGAAGCCATTGTGATTCACTGGTTTCAGGCTTGCAGCTTGCTATGTGCCTTGGTTGCTGATATGGAGATGCATTTCACGTTAAGAGTCGTACGCCGTTCCAATTCTGTGTTGCCGTGTATATTTCTCTTTGACCGAGCCTTCAGCTCCCCTCTCGACTCTCTTCCCCCTCCTCGCTCCCTCCCTTCCCTCCCCTCACCCTGACCATTTCCCCCCTCCTCGCTCCCTCCCTTCCCTCCCCTCACCCTGACCATTTCCCCCCAATGCTCGGGTCATGACCCAACTGTGCAGCGCCTTGGGACGTCCTCCTGACGTGAAAGGCGCTTTATAAATGGAATCTTGTTGTTGTTGTTGTTGTATTTGTGGTACAAGTGGCACAAGCCAAAATACAGATAAAAGATTTCAAGCTTCAGTAGCCGTGTTTAATAACCTCGGGATGGCTGCAAAACCGTATTTAATGTGGTATTTTTTTCCCGAATACCACATTCATATATATATATATGCCCACACAATATATAATCAATTCTTTTTACAGCATGTTCTGTGAAGCGCTTTGAGACATTTCAATGACGTGATAAGAGACTGTATCAAATGCAAGGAATATTATTATTTTGTTTTTTTTTAAACGATCTGCAGTTGCAAATCCACACCTCTGCATGCGGTTCTCCCCCCCCCCCCCCCCCCACCCCCTCTCGCTCTCGCTCTCGCTCTGCCTCTTTATCACTCTATCTCTCCCTGTCTCTCTTTTATTAATACTCGTTCTCTACTGGTTTGATTGATCACTTGAACGGGCTGACACGTTCCCGGTCAGGCAGCTGCTGCTTTTAATTTGAAAGGAGATCTGCATTTCTGTTTCAAAAGGAAGAAGCATTCCCTTGGGCAATTACATCCCTGTGCTGATTTGCTGCAGTGAAGACTGCAGCCTTTACAAACCACCCTCCCCTTTTTTTTTCCCCCTCTTCTCTTCACCCCCACCCTCCCACCCATCCACCACCACCACCACCATCACCACCCCTTCTTGTTCCGCTTACCACACTGAGTCGTCTTAAACAGTGTGCGCTTCACCCCATAAATGCATTGGAATGCCTAACTGATAGAACGTTTGGTCACAGAAGAGGTGTCCGTGATCTTTTTGATGCCCCAAGATGCAGACCGGTACAGAATCTACCAAGATGGACTGTCTGTGGAGTTGCTGGAAGAACCAGGGTACTCAATTGTTTTGCATGGTTTGAAAGGAACTGAAAACGGGGCGAGGGCTGTACCAAAGCTTCTCATGCGTATTCACCTGTGGGCCTGTGCATGTATTTTCATCCGCTTCGTATCGTAATAATCAAGTAATCCTTTGTTTTTTTCCGGCAGGGGATAGATGAATGATGAGGGCTACGTTTCAGGACTTGTGTGTGTGCGTGCGCGTGTGCGTGTATATATATATATATTGTTTTTTTAAGAAGCGATTTTGCCTTTTTTTGCTGAAAGAAAATGCCGCCTAAATGATTTCGCCTCTCGTCCTTTTTTTGGTGGGTGTGTAAGGTTGAATTTCACAGAGCTTCGTTGTGAAATTCATCTGTGTGTGTGTGTGTGTGTGTGTGCTTGTTAACTGCGTAGCGAAGCTCTTGCAGAATTAGAATTGTATTACGAATCCGTGCCCATTGTATCTGTTATCCTTCATTTCTGAGCAGCATCCATCAGTCCAGCTGCAAAGCATCCTTCACAATGGAAACACACCCATGATGAAGATGACAATCTTCTCAGTACAAAGCGTCTGCTGTACATATACTATATCTATATTTATATGTTGTTTTTAAAAAAAATCCTTCTTTCACCAATTCTAGTTTTATTATCAGGAAATAGTATTTGTTTGTCGAGAGGTATCTTTGTGTATACAGATGGATGCTGAGAATTATACTCCAAAACAAGGCAAACAATGTATATGTGTTTGAGTTGCGGTGGATGCTGTACCATGGATTTAGTTCAATAATTAATAGCGAGCTCTGGAATCTTCCTCTTTGTACATGTATCTGTCTGAAAAGCATCCAATTCAGCACTGGGTGTGGCCCTGTTTGTCTGCTTCAGGTCTTTTTCAGCCATCTTTTTTTCCATTCAGCGTCAACATTAGGTTCTGTCTAGACATTTCAGCATATAAGGTGCTAGGGTGTGTTCTTTTCTTAATAAGAGAAACACTCGAGAAATTTGACCAGATACCTTGGGGGGATAGTTAATTAATTTATTCCCTTTCTGGGGTTTCACGGATAATTGGTTGTTATGAAATACTCCTTTTAACGAAGGCTTCTATTGACAGACCTACTCTTTAATTATTTTTTACCCATCCAAAACCTCTGAGGCATGTCCCTTATTTAAACCCATCTCACACAATAGCCCACAATAGCTTCAGAGAAAAGACTGATATTCCACTTTTTTTAACATATAAAAAAATTCTGTCATATCCCATTCGTGTGGTCCACAGAAGAAAACTGCTTCCTCCGTAGATGGTCAAAACCTATACAAACCTAGATCTTACTCCTTCAAGCGAAGATTTCCAATTGTCCAATAAATGTGTCGTCTAATTATTTTATTCCACATTACAGATGATTTAATAAACCATGTTAGCCATCAAGAGAAGATTTTTGTCTCAGTAAAAGATCTGAAACAAGTTGGCAATAACTTGACTTTAAATGCCATTCTATTATACTCAGGGTAGTATTTCTGTTGAATTCTGTATTTTTTGTTCTTTACTTCCAAATCAGAATTTGTTAAAAAAATGATAATGTAAAGCAGAAATCCAAATAAATCTTTATTTCTAATTTCAGAAAAAAATCTCCCTCTCCCCTCGGTTTTAACATTTTCTTTTGCAGAACGATTTCAAAACCTCTCAGCTGAACATTCAGGTAACTTGAGAGATGATGTTTGTTGTTGAAAGTTCGCTCGTTTAAGGCCAGTTTGTCCAGAGAGGTGCAATGATGATGGATTGCTGTCAATATCATCAGCAGTAAAGAGAAAGAGCCCTACCTAACTGGTGAGAGTCCTAAGATAGTATCCTGAGGTTGCATTAATGAACCCAACTTATTCCTCCACAACTGCTCGCTTCGTACAATACCTGCTTGAGGATTTTGTTTGCTCCTTGTGGGCACACTCGTACTTACAGTTACTAGAATGTACTGTAGTTACCGCCCTGGCTGCTGCAGTATTTCGTCAGCCTGGAAGGGAGCCCATTATTTTAACGGAATGCTTCACGAGTAGTTTTTTAAGGCACGAATAATGAATGAAGTGCCAAACACCTTTTAGCTCAAAGGAGAGGGAGAGAATCGACATCCAGACCTTTCGTTGAGAAATGTGGGCCGGGTGAATAAGGCCTTTAATGCTCGGACCCAAATGGACAGTTGGACACCCTGCGCAAGTGAGAGCCTCACTTCACCCTTTTCACGCATCCACAGTGCACCAAAACAATCATTATGAAATAAAATTGTGCCTGTGTTGTGTGTTTTTTTTAAAAAACTTCTTCTAAAGCACAGCAAAAAAGCAGCTCCCGGCGTGAAAGGCGCTATACAAATGTAATTTTGTTGTTGTTGTTGTTGTTGTTCATGATAATAATAGTAATATTAATAATCCTTGCATTTGATATAGCGCTTTTCACGTCTTCTCGATCTCTCAAAGCGCTTCACAGAATAGACTGTAAAGTGAATTGACCGCATATATTTTGTGGGTTAACAATCTGCTCAGATATTGCAGGGACTGGGGGATAATAATAATATTTGCATTTGATAAAATTGTTATAAAATCAAATATAAATTTCATGAATAACATGAAATTGGAATGAGGAGAGAAATAATAATAATAATAATCCTTGCATTTGCTATAGCTCCTTATCACGTCGTTGAGACGTCACAAAGCGCTTCACAGAGTAGATTGTAAAGTGTAGTGACTGTGCATTTTGTAGGCGAAACACGGCAGCCGATTGAGCACAGGAGAATGAGATTGAGCTTGGGAGCTGATACAAAATAGTCTTGCAGTCCAGACAAAAGTCTAGTAAAACAGTTCATATCAAGGCAACAAATACTAAGGGCCATAGTTTTAGAAAGCTTGGTATTTATAAAGGTTCTGGTCTCAAATAATGTGCAGGGCCTGTGGAGTCTGCTGGTGACTGGTATGGCTGTCTATGCTCTTATACTGCTAAGTCATCTTCAGTAAATCCACCCCCTTCTCATGATGAAAGGGATACTGTATTACCTCGTGATTTGAGGAAGGGCTGTGACGCAAGACTACTTTGCCCGACACAAAATGAGTGTGATCAATATTCAAAGTCGTTCATTTTCCAGTTCAAGGCTGAATCATTCAAAATAATCGTATGAGTCTTTAAGCCAAGTGCACACAAAGATGTGTATCAAATCATTGATGGTAAGTTTGGGAATGAATCTGCTCCTGTTAACAACAACTAGATAAGGGTCAACCTGCAAACTGGGTATTGTATGGATGGCGAGTTTATAAAGATGTCCAAACTCACAGAACGCAGTTGGGTTTGAGTTTCCTATTGACTGAATGACACTAGTTACCTTGTCATGAAGTGTGCATGGACCTTCAACACTTTAACTAAGAGAATAGCTTTACAAACAGTATTAGTTGGGAAGCAAGTGCAGATTACAAAGAAGTTACGTTTTCGGTGAAAGTGAAATATTTTGGGGAGGAAAATCATGTACATTTTTAATAAAGAACCAGTAATGTACAGTAGACTTGTTTTTTTTCATGAGATGTGTGTGTGTGCAACGGTAACTTGTTGTAATTTGACAAGCTCTGGTGCTTCTCCTCATTAGTCAACCGAAGGCTGTATTTATCCATCACAAGCCAGCATGAAGTAGAAAGCTTACTTGCCTCTGTATTATTTAGGGCTCCATTCAGTTGAATGAATTAACAGTAGAAATATTCAGTTGGTATATGCTTTGTATTTGGTTCCTCTGCTGCTCCAAAAAGCAAATCTGATTGTTATTGTCATTATTTTTTTACAAAAAGATTGATTGCCACAGCTTATTTATTTGCTGGTGTTCGAACGATAAGGGACATTGCCTGAATATAGTTAATCATACAGCGGGTAAAATGTTTTAGAACAAATATCTTAGAATGGTTTCAAGAAAACACATCCATGATTTGCTTCTTGACAAGCGCAGCAATGCTAAATTATCACAACTTAGACATGCACTTAAACAAGCACTGATTTAATGGTCTGAAGAGGTTTTTTTGGCGTTGGTCAGAGAACCCAACGCTGTAATCCGAAGCGTGGAAGACAGCTGAGATTGGTCTACATACGCACTAATGACTTTGAAAGTGGCTGCTTGAAGGTTCTAATTTTAAACCGTGGGTCTGTGGATGCACCAGGAAACAATCCAAGCTTCTGGTTTCCCCACATATCTCTGGTGCTTTTGTGCTTTAGATCTTGTGCGGATCTAAAATGTCCTCCCCCGGTTTCATATGAATTTCTTTTTCCATCCGTCAGCTTTTCCTGGGCTGCCTTTTCTTTTTCTTTTTCAAAGAAAGCTTGTTAGAAATTGCAGAGAGGCCATCGGCATTTCCACACCTGCCAACAGACCGGCTAAAGGTGATTTGCTCACCTTATTCGCTGGTGGAAATTGCTTGGCCTCTGTTTTTGCACCTCATTGTTACTGTAGCCCGGATCAGTCTGGATCTGCCACATTGGAGCGGGAGGAGGTGAGAGTGAAAGAGAGAGAGAGAGAGTAGCAATTACAGGTTGAAACCATACATCGCCATTGCTAGTCACTGCCATTGTTTCTATGACATTGTTTTATAATCATTCCGACCCCCAACAAGTGTTCTTCCTCTTCACTCGATCCATCATCACCTTCTGCCTCCCATTCTCGCAAGACACAGAGAGTACCAACAGCAGCAGGTAACTGGGGAACCAACAGTTGCAACTGATCCGAAAAAATGTCATCGTATGGAAAGGCAATATTTAAAGAACCAATGAATTTAGTGCTTTGTTTCCTGTCTGAACAAACCCAGGACACTTTGTATTATAGTTGCCACCCTCTGCAAAAGTAGTTACTACATTTAGACGTCTCTCTTCTGAGCAGACATCCTCGATATCGTGTTAGTGACCATATTGAGTCGAGCTGACTGTTACCCTGTTGAATGCAGAACACATCAAAGAAAGGTGATATTGCTTTGCTGGTAGGGCCGTTCGCCAATTTGTTTATTTGCCAGTAACTTGGACACCTGCTACAAGACCATAGGATTCCTGTAAATTTGAAACTGGGATTGGTGTCCAAAATCAAAAGGGTCACAAGCATGCCATCTGTTAGAATAACTCTTTAAAATGAATGGATATTTTGTTTGCATACTTTGAATTGAGAACCAAAACAGATTACTGTGTCTAGCTTTTTTTAATTCAATTCCATATTGGATCATATTTTCTCTTCTGCCTTCCAGTGTGCTTTGTCAATAGTTTCCTATTTATACTTGAACGAGAGGAGACTAGATTCCAATCATTATTATTCTCGTAAATAACTTGCGCTAACTTGACATAACTTGATTTTTCATGAGCAAAAAAAATTGCTATCGGAACTTCGAATCCAGCTACAGTTAAGGAAAAGTTTCTTTAAGACAAACATGCAACTCATACCATTTTGAAGTGTCACAGGGTCTGTCAGATTTACTCTATGCCTAACACTGTAATGAGGAAATGTATGTTTAATTTAGTCTTGCTTCATTGGAATCTTCATTGAATCTTCATTGAATCTTCCTTGGAGTCCTGACACACACAACGTGGCCATACAACCTGTGGTTATGATTAATAATAATATTTTTTGCATTTGATATAGCGCCTTATCACGTCTTCGAGAGTATACTGTAAAGTAAATTGACTGTGTATTTTGTGGGCGGATTATTGGTGCAACTTGTGAAGCTTCCTCCAGTAGGAAGCCGATAGTGCCGTATCACGAACTACAGTTCACCGTGGAGTTACATCAAATGGAGTTTGTTGTCTTCTACAGCGACGTTTCCTCATGATGAATGAGACAGAAAACATGCTAAATGGCAATACTGTTTGGCAGCTACTTCATTCGTATCTGCCATTTGCTGATTAAATAGAAACAAATAGAGCCAACGTGTGGTGGTGCATTTCAAGGAAATGGATTTACTGGGCTCTCCAGATGATAACCCACTACAATAAATGAAATTTGAAATCTAATATGTGAGACAGTGCGTGCTGAAATACACTAATTTTGAGTTTTTTCCAGACGTTTAATTACTTTAGCCCCAGTGGTAATTGAAGCGTAGAGTCGAATGGAAGGTTAGGAGAAGGTAGAGCTGATTCTTTAAATGACTTACTTATTCATGCAGACATTGTTTCAAATAAAGTGTTGAATCACTGCAGGAATTTCCATTCTACGAACCTCCTCGTTGCCGGAACAACATAGAGTAGAGCTGTTTAACCCCTTTTCAATGCAACGTGATGGAATGTTTTGTTCGGGTGAGACCGTTGTGAAAGAGGTTTAAATGATCAGATTTACCGTGTCGTTGTCTAGTCAGGTGTTAGCCATAATTTCCCGTATCCATAAGCACATTGGGTATCTGGAATGGCATTGACATTTCATTGCCATTGAATTGATTTGAAGCTGGCATGAATCCTAGTGTAAAGGTTTGCAAATTACAGTATGCATTGTTGCGGCATTATAATAACCCGTATTTTCACCAGCAATTTCTGGCCTTTATTTTCATGGTGCAACTAGTGTAGATATCATTGGTGTTAGACACAGAACCAACAACAGTTTCGTGGTCAATCTGGCGTGTAATGAGGTAACGCCACCAACTGTAAAATCTATTCTCAATCGGATTTCTGCTTTTACTATAAGCAAAGACCTCGAGAACTAAGTTGAGGCCAAGTGGACTCATGCATTAGCTCGCACATGCACACGCCAGGTCCGTGTGGACTCGCACAGGCCAGCTCCGTGTGGACTCGCACACACCAGCTCCGTGTGGACTCGCACACGCCAGCTCCGTGTGGACTCGCACACGCCAGCTCCGTGTGGACTCGCACACACCAGCTCCGTGTGGACTCGCACACACCAGCTCCGTGTGGACTCGCACACGCCAGCTCCGTGTGGACTCGCACACGCCAGCTCCGTGCCACACGTATACAAAGGGTTGCAAGGTTTTTTTTCCAATAATAATGAAAAAAATCCCTGATTTTTCCTGAAGCTGCTGACAGTTTATGCTCAGTACCTTGTTGCACGCAGTAGAATGTTTGGCCAGTTTAACGCATTTAGAGGGTGAGACAGGAATGGGAAGAGGTACTTCAGCTCATTCTGTGAATCCGTGACTTATTTCAGGACCCGTTGTCACAATCATTTTCTTGGTTTTTATTTGGTTAAAGAATTAAATTTTCTTTCCGAGATCCCTCTCTCTCTCTCTGCTTTTGGCTGAGTCACAAATTGAGCCATTTCATTTTGTAATGCTTCCATTGAGCTAATGTTCTCTGCAGTACATGGCAATGACCCTATGTTATTGACCCTATGAGGAAGCTATTTCTTATACTAGGTTTAGCTTGTTTCTTGCTTGGTGCAGTTCTGCTCTCGTTGCACAAACTGACTCCTCACGTCTACTTTCTGGATCATGCCCCAAACCTCAGATTATATACTGTAGTAAAATTATCCAGCCAAGCCACATTTTGAAGTCGTGAAATCTGTTATTTTCAATACATGGGTTGCACAGCTCTGAAACGTTCTCCCTTTTTCCAAGAGAGAGGCCAATTTGTGGCGTTTCTTCTAGAAGGGCTGTGAATTTAAGCCTTTAAGCAGATTATGTTGTTGCTTCTTGTAATGATCTATTGGTTGGTCTTGTCCAATGCTCACCTATCAGCCATTATTATATGTAGACCCAATCAATTTGCATTGTCTGCATTGATACTGCAGCGATACAAATTGAAGTCCATCTTATTCCAGTTGCTAAAAATAACTGTCGTTGACTTCTTATTGAAACCAACTTTTCAAGGTGATTTTGTTAGGCATTCTTCAGCGCATTTCATTTAACAGCATTTATAGCTGGGGTTTTTTGGCATCATACTATTCTTGTGTTGAATTGATGTGAAAAGCACAGCTTAATTATGGAAAATAGACTCCTTATAACCTTCAATTTGTAATCAGATATTCACCCTAATTCATCCTGAAATGTTTGAGCATTGTTTTCCATGGATATAATGTAGCATTGAAGGAGCTTTCCACGAGGTTAAAACTGCAATTCCATCTCCCTTTTCTACTGGATGTTAAGATCACTTGATATTCTTTCGAAAAATAATAGAGTTGGTCCTGCTGCCTTTTAATCGGATTCTTATTTTGTTTTGTTTTTAAAAAAGTGTAGTTTAGTCTTATGTCCAAGGGAAAAAGTCCATTAATAAAACACTTGCTGTTATACAACAAAACTCCCCATGATTGGAATTCAGAGGCGTAAGAGAAAAAATCCACTTAGTTCCTTTTGCATTGTGCAAAAAGTCCGGTTGCTGTAAGTACACAGAACCTCAGAACTTTTAACCTACAAATTCATCTCGCTTGGTCAAGGATAATGGACCTCGCAATGTAATCCTTTGCTCAAAATTTTATGTATTGATTGCACTCTGCACAAAGTAAAATGTTGCTTCCTTTGTTCAGTGGGTGAGTTTATTGATCGGAATGCGAGACGAGTAGTCAACAAGATCAGTGCAATGGGGAAAACTTTAGTATAATGACTTTTTGCTGTTGTGCATTCCGGGCAAGCTCATTATTTCTCACAGTAATTGATCTCAACGCGGCAGATTTATCTAATTTATCCAATGTCTCTTCCGCAGCTATTGACCTGCTGTACTGGCGTGACATTAAACAGACGGGGATTGTCTTTGGAAGTGTGCTTCTCCTGTTGTTTTCGCTGACCCAGTTCAGCGTTGTGAGTGTCATCGCCTACCTGGCACTTGCTGCACTCTCAGCTACCATCAGCTTCAGAATTTACAAATCAGTGTTGCAGGCAGTGCAGAAGACTGATGAAGGACATCCTTTTAAGTAAGTGTTTGATCGGTGGGAGTGGGGGGAATGTGGGGGGGAGAGGGAGGGGATGGGGTTCTGTTTCCTTGTTACAGTTTTACCCTACTTTCCTTTATATCTTTGTATCTTGATGCCTTGGGACAACCTTCCGAATGTGAAAGGTGCTATATAAATATAATTTGTTGTGTTTCTCTTCCAAATGATAGTAGGACTCATATTTGCCCACGTAAAATGATAGCATTTGGGAAAATAATGTCGATGACACAGGTGTACAGAAATCTGTAGCATTCAGTTCATGTCGTGGTGGTATTTTTAGTGCCCAAGACACTGCTACTCTTAAGTAGAGAGTAGATAACTTGCTAATGTGTCAGCATATTCCAGGAAGGGGTTGAAGGGTTTAAAGATAAATATACAGATACCTGATACTCAATGCAATGCTAGTTCAGCCATGTTGGATGACAGAAATGCCATTAAATTAAATTATTAGAATGTCAGGGCTGAAGAAGATTGGATTGAGAACCTGGAATGCTTTTTTGGTTGCATAGAATAATAATAATCCTTGCTTTTGATATAGCTCCTTATCACGTCTTCCAGGCATCTCAAAGCGCTTCACAGAATATACTGTAAAATTGATTGACTGTGTATTTTGTGTGCAAACTTGCATTGTGCATTCAAGTATATCATTGAAAGCGCTTTGTGGTAATTGCTGCAGTCACACTTTTGTGACCAGATGTGGCAGCAATTTTGCAACGCAACAACTAATAGCCAATAGGTAAATGATCGATTTAATCAGGAAGATTGTTGGTCAGGTCATCGGGAGAAATTCACCCTTTTTTCTAAAAAAGAAGTGTCATGATCTTTAACGTCCTCCTGAACAGTCAATTAATAACTAAAACATATGAGCAAGAAAAGATCTTAGGACATCCTTCCAACGTGAAAGGCGCTATATCAATGTAATGTTGTTGTTGTTGAACATTGATGGACCCAGAGGCACGTGAGATTATCTTTTTACCTCTTTTCTCCCCCTGCCCCCTTTGCTCCTCAAACTGGATCTTGTCATAAACAATAACAACAACAAAAAATTACACTTGTGGAGGCTCTTCATGACGGGACGACGTCCCAAGGCGCTGGTGAATTTATCTTTCAATGTTTTTTTTGGAGTGATAACTGATTTTATTTTGTGTCTTATCAGGGCGTACTTGGACATGGACACTAACCTCTCCGAGGAGCAGATTCAGAAATACGCCGATTCCGCTCTGGTGTATGTGAACAGTACTGTCAAAGAGCTTCGCCGACTGTTCCTTGTACATGACCTTGTGGATTCCCTCAAAGTAAGAGCATCCCACGTTTTCCTCTTTGCAGATAAATATCCGCAAAAGAACATGGCCGATGAAAAGTGGGGCCACGCATATAAACACACATCGTTTTTAAGTTTCTCTTTAAACTCCGCACCATGTAATCGAGACTCCTCAAAGCGCTTCACTGAATACACTGTAAAGTGAATTGACTGTATATTTTGTGGGCACACATCTGTGTCCCACAAACAGTCGTGGATTAAGTGACCAAATTTTTAAAAAATTATTACATGATATATATATATACTTGCAGAAATGTTCAGTTCTGCTGCATTTATTTAATGGTGATGCTGCTTTTGTGCGTCTTTGTCAGAAACTCTCTCTCTGTCTCTCTCTTTCTGGCATGGTTTGTCTGTAACGTCTGTTTGTTTGTGCCCTCCTGCTCTGTTCTGAGGTGTCTGCAACCATCCCACTGTGGAACACAAATCAGTCTCTGGTGTGACTTCTTGCCTTGGAGCCACCTGAGTTCATCCAACAATATGCCACTTGTTTCCATCAAGTCTGCAATCTCTCCCCAATTCTAAGACATCAACACCATACACTCCCTCTCTGTCTGTCTCTTTTTTTAAAAGGCGATGAGGCTCACTGAAAATGACACTGTTCTCTCAGATGAATAGCGTAATCTGGAACAACTACCCTTGGCCAATGATCGCCATTGCTCATTATCACATACGCAACCACCCACATTTATCCTCCTTTTTCTCTAATCTGTTGTTTTCTGTCAAGTGCAAATCTTTTGCGTTATTTATAAAGCTGGCATAAGTAAGGCAGAAAAGAGGGGAGGCTTACCTACTTAATAACAATTATAATCCTTGCATTTGATGTAGCGACTGCAATGTTGGGAAAGGCGGACAGGGATTCACAGGTAATTGCTCTCAGGTGCAGTGATGCTATCAGACTTGGAAACCTTTTTTTGTTGCACACAGCAAATTCCCCAAACAGCCATGAAGTGAGTGACCAATTTTATCTGGAGGATGTTCCCCAGTAAACTAATGATCTGCTCATTTGTAAATGTGATACAAACTTCGTTCCGTCTGTCCTGTATAATGTTCGGTGTTTAACCTGTGTTTTTTGTTCAGTTTGCAGTGCTGATGTGGTTGCTGACCTATGTTGGAGCTTTGTTCAACGGCCTCACCCTGCTGATTATGGGTAATTGTACTCTAATATTGCAGGACAATAGTAAATTATTGAGTAGTTTTGTTTGCTGATGTATTTTTCTGTTGTTTGTGAACAAAGTGGGATTGACACATAGGTGCCAGTCACCAATTTTTCCTTCCCCGTCTACCTGATTTTATTGTGTCAAGATAAGTGATTGTTTAGAGTGCGTATTTTCTTCAAATCTCGCAATTTCCAAATGGCCCATTGCATTGCCTCTCTTGGCTGTGTAATCAGGGGAACTAGAGGCTGGAGGTTCAATGTCTGGACTCATTCTCCTTTGGAAGGAGTCACAGCCAAACAGCAGTAGAGCATATAATGCACATGGGGGTTAAAGCTTTTTCTTCATATTGCACTGTACAGTCACCAATGTAAAACCATAACTAAAGCCTTAAAGTTTTTGAAACGCTGTCTTATATTTTTTATTATATTTGCATTTATAATAAACATTTTAATCCCCCTGAGGCGCACATTCACTGCATGCTTCTGTCTTCCACTTGTGCGATCTGAGTTAAGAATTCAGTTAGCCTGTTTCAGTTGACATTTTGAGGTTTAGCTTTCAGTATTTCAAAAACGTGAGTCATGTCACCCCTGAACCTTCTGCTTAGAGCTCATTTTTCCAAACGCTAACCGTAGCTGCATGTGTTGATGCAAGCCTCCGGTGTTAGTAAGTGTGTGAGATTGAGTTGTTCAATACATCCATGTAATGTGCTTTTTATGTCCTTTGCAGCTGTGGTCTCTATGTTTACCTTGCCTGTGGTATATGAGAAGTACCAGGTGAGTGAGTGCTTTGGTTATTTTCGGATATACACAGGGACGGACAGGAAATTGGGAAATTTCCACGCGTGCCCCCTCCCTGGAAATCGTGACCTCCTCAAAACCCAGCCTTGCTGCCGTCACCCAGACAGGAGTGTGCAGCTGTGGTGGAGCCGGTAGCACTCATTGTGTGCAGTTGAAGTGAAAGCTGTGAAAATCCCCTCAATTCCCAGCAGGCGGGGAATGAGGGGTAATGAGGAAGGGGTGGGGGGGGGGGGAGGAAAAACTTGTCTGATTTGGTGCCCACCTATTTTACCCAACAATCCCAAGCTCTTTCGGGGAGCCAGTCCGCCACTGGATTCACATGCCAGAAAACTGTCGCCTGGCAAAATGCTAATAAGGGTGAACAATGTACATTGTGCCTTATCCAATACAGTGTGTTTTACTTTCACTTTTCGCAGGCACAAATTGACCAGTATTTGGGGTTGGTGAGGACCCATGTTAATTCCGTGGTGGGAAAGTAAGTTTGACTTGACGCTAACATTGCACATCATCGTGAAAGAATACTTAGCAGATATATAGTGGTGTGGCGCTAGGTGGAGGAAGATGGACTCTGTCATTTAACAAGAGGATAGTGGACCTATTTCTAAGGTATATGTTTCTTAAAAAAGGTCAGTGAAGGCTAAAGCAAATAATACCAGAGGTGAGCCATACAGATCAACATTGATCTCAAGATTGAATTTAGTTCTGGTGTTTAATCTGATAACGAATACAGAACTTTACTTCCTGAGGAAATAATAAACCCACAAAATTCATTTGTAGTCAGCACCAGCACCTAAATTATATTGCAATGTAGTATTAACTCCATTATTTCAGCAGCAAAGAGCTTGTTTAAATTACAGGCCCTTCAATCATAACCAAATTAACGAAGGGATAGGGAAGTTGAAAGAACCCAAGTATTTTCTTTCTTTAATGCACATGACCATTGTTCCTAACGCGAACTTTGCCCTGTACGTATATTAGAGCAGTTATACAGTGGATCTTAGGCTGACTCCATTAGGAAGAAAAACCGTAGAATCAGTGCAACATCTGCAGTATGTTTGTATGTGTGTGTGCAGTATACTTACATTAGCTGGAACTCGTCGTAATTCCAGTTTGAAACATCTCAAACCTGCACTAGTTTGCTGTGCGCAGTTATGTGAGTAAAAATCGCTCATTTTACAAGCTTTACACCCTCCTTGCCCTCCACCCCTCCTGATCCCAACCATCTGTTCGGGTCCAAATCCCTGACTGTCCACTGTCTTGGGACATCTTCCTAAAATGAAAGGCACTGTGTAAATGCCATAGATGTGAAAGGCGCTATACTAATGTAATCTGTTGTTGTTATCAATCAATTCATAAATGTACTAATTGTGTGTTTTTTTTTCAAATCCCAGAATAAAATGATCTGATCCAAAGGATATAATCCTTTTTGTCTTTTATTCAGGATTCAGGCCAAAATCCCAGGTGCCAAGCGAAAGACTGAGTAAGAGCAACGCAAAGAGAGTGACTGTTGGCACACGAGAGGGACTCTGAACTAGAGGCAGTTCTGTATTCTTAAAGTTAATCAGACACGTCTTGGAGCGTCGTTGTACCATTTGTCAGCACCATGGTTTTAGAAACATGCAGCTTTGAGATCTTCCTCTTATGCTGTTTCCAAATGATTAGAATTCTTGCAATCACTTGTGTCAATCACTAAAGTTTAGTAAGGAAAATTCAAGTCACAGTAACTGTATTAGATGTGTCTTTTGTGTTGCTTATGAAACAAATGCATGACATTGAGAGTCTTAATTCTATTTATCTTTCTAGTATTTTCTTGCTGTTATGGCAGCGCTTACAACTTTTAACGTGATTTGTGGCTAGGGCATTTCTGCTTTAGCGCACCTCTGCAAATAGTCTTAATTGCTCCAAAGTCATTGGGTCAGTTTGGTTTTATTAAGTGAAATATATATTAAAAAAAATAGAACAGTGGATTGATGTTTTGGTGTTTATCCAGCACAAACGTTCTATGGATAATGTATTGTAATTGTGGCATTTGGTTTTGTAAATCGAAGAAATACAAAGCTCATGTTTTTGGAACTGCCATCATACTATTAAAGAAGTATGGAAATATAAGTCTCCTAGTGTTTGTAACCCTTTGAGTTTTATTTAAGGCTAGTAGTTACCAGGAGGATTGGTTTTGTTTAGCTAATTTCCCATGCTCATGATCTGGTACTACTAATAATAATAATCCTTGCATTTGATATAGCACTTTTCACATCGGGAGGACGTCCCAAAGCGCTTCACAGAACACACTGTAAAGTGAATTGACTGTATATTTGTGGGCGAACGCGGCAGCCAATTGCGCACAGCAATGTCCCACAAACAGTCGTGGATTGAAAATGACCAATTTATTATTGTTCTTGGTTTTGGAGGGATTATTATTATTAGGTAGCATAGTGTTGCTAGATCACACCAAACTTTAGGAAATAATCCCTGTAGATTGTGGTGCAGTGAATAAATGTAATATTGCAGTTATAATATAATAATATTGCAGTTGTCTTGTGGTGGTTTGTAATACCCACTTTCAGCCACAATGTGGTGTTATTTCCTAACACCATAGAATCATAGAATTATACAGCAGTGAAGGAATCCATTCGGATCATCATGTCTGCGTCGGCTCTTTCAAAAGAGCATTTCCAAATCAATCCCACTCGCCTGCGCTCTCCCCACAGCCCTGCAAACTTGTCCTCCCCAAATAATTATCTAATTAAACATCAGAAAGATCAAATTGCAACGAAATCTGGAAAGCATTTTACAAGCTACTATATTTTATTAAAACGTTGCAACTACAATTACTAACGTTCACAGAATTCTTGCATACTCAAATGTTAATTATACCATTATTGATTTACATTTACATTTACATTGATTTAGTGGAGTCCTGTAGCTCAGTGGTTAGAGCACTCGCTTTGCAAGTGAGAGACCCGAGTTCAATTCCAGGCAGAGGGCGAAACCTTGGGCAAGTTTCCTTACTCCACACAGAGCCTAATAATAATCCCTCCAAAACAAAACAATAATAAATTGGTCATTTTCAATCTACGACTGTTTGTGGGACATTGCTGTGCGCAATTGGCTGCCGCGTTCGCCCACAAATATACAGTTAATTCACTTTACAGTGTGTTCTGTGAAGCGCTTTGGGACGTCCTCCCGACGTGAAAAGCGTTACACCAAATGCAAGGATTATTATTTATTATTATTATCGTTCAGCATTTATGTTGAAAAAACAATATTTAATTTATTGTTACGATAGATTTCCAATTGTTATTGCAGACTAAGCTACTTCCACATAATACAGTCACATCACACTTTAAAGTATATCCTGTGAAGCTCTGTCAGACATCTCGACAGTGTAATAAGACGTTATATCCAATCGAAGGATTATTATTATTATATTAAACATGGCAATTGGTTTTCACAAGAGAGAAATGGAGGTTTCCTCCTTGTAAAAACCAATTGCCATGTTTAACATAATAATAATAATCTTTGTAAGGAGGAAATGGAGGTTTCCTCCTGTTGCGAAAGGCGCTATATCAATGCAAATTTATATTGTATTTGTTGGTATTTAGGAAAGGTTTCCCTTTGTAAACACCAAACTAATGAACAACCTGACAATCCCAAATGGGTGTAATCAAGGTTTACTGTAACATAAGCAAAATCATCAATACAAAATGTATCTTAAGCAATAATTAGAGAATCAAGACCATATTACCCGGTTCTCGGACTCTGGACAGTAGATGACACGGCACCTGAAGCTGTTTCTCCTCTACTTCTCAAACTACTGTTATTACTTCTCTGCCGAGCAAACAGAACCGAATGCATATCACCCACCACTCCTCCTCTTTCCCTTTTAATGGTCACTTTGTTATAGGAGCTAAATTCCCTCACGCCTGTACATATACATAGATATAATGGAATTGATATCGATTCCACTGGGAAGTGTGCTTCCCCTCTACACAACTCCGAACTATTTCAAAGTTACTTCCTTTATGTGTTTCTAACCCCGTTCACAGAGATAGCCTCCACCTTTCGCAGGATGTTTTGCACAATGAGAGTCGTGGGCAACCTCTTGGCAGCCTTCGACAGCTGCGTGCTTTGGTAAGAAAGGTTTCTTTCTTTTGCTGTCATTGCAAGTTTCAGCTGACCAAAAAGGTATGGATACATGTAAATGGCATTGAATCATTGTATAAGCTGGCATCCAGGCTAGTTACAGCAGGTATTATGTACAGAGAAATTTCAGGCAACAAATGAAAGAACATTCCTACAGCCCACCAGCCATGCAATCCCAGTGCAGGATAACCATGAGAACTTGTGGAGACATGTTCAGATGATAATGGATCTCATGTCCTGAGGAGCTTTCATTCCTCAGAACATGAGGTCTTACTCCTAAGGACAACAACAACAAGATTCCATTTATTGAGCGCTTTTCACGTCGGGAGGACGTCCCAAGGCGCTGTACAGTTGGGTCGGGAACCGAGCATTGGGGGGAAATGGTCAGGGTGAGGGGAGGGAAGGGAGGGAGCGAGGAGGGGGTAGAGAGTCGAGAGGGGAGCTGAAGGCACGGTCAAAGAGAAAGGTCTTGAGACCGGCCTTGAAGGAGGAAAGGGAGGAAGCGGCGAAGGCACTGGGGGATGGAGTTCCAGAGCCTCGGGGCTGAGAGGCTGAAGGACCGGCCACCGATGGTAGGGCGGTTGGGGCGGGGGATGTGGAGCAGACCGGAGCCAGAGGAACGGAGGGTACGGGCAGGTAGGTAGGGGGATAGTAGGTTGGAGAGGTAGGAGGGAGCAAGGCCGTGAATGGCCTTGTAGGTGAGGATGAGGATCTTGAATTCGATCCTCTGGGGGATGGGGAGCCAGTGGAGGCGAGCGAGGGCGAGGGTGGGAGTGATGTGGTCGCGAAGTCTGGTGCGGGACAGTACACGAGCTGCAGAGTTCTGAATGACCTGCAGTGTGGAGGGAGGGCCGGGAAGGCCGGCGAGGAGAGAGTTCCCATAGTCCAGCCTTGAGGTGATAAAGGCGTGGACCAGAGTTTCAGCAGCGTGAGGGGTGAGGTAGTGCCGTAGTCTGGCGATGTTCCGGAGGTGATGGAAGGCGGTGCCAGTTGTGGTGCGGATATGAGGGAGAAAGGACAGCTCAGGGTCGAACAAAACGCCGAGGTTCCTGACTGGCTTTGAGAGGTGGAGAGTGCAGCCTTGGATGCTGATGCTGTCAGCGCCTGAGGTGCGGAGGCGCTGACGTGAGCCAATCAGGAGGGCCTCAGTTTTGCGCACGTTGAGCTGAAGAAAGTTGTCTCTCGTCCAGGACTCGATGTCGGACAGGCAGCTGTCAGGACATCGGTGGTCGTGGAGTTGAGGGTAGAGGAGGAAAGGTAGAGTTGGGTGTCATCCGCATACATGTGGAAGTTAACCCCATGTCTGCGGATGATGTCACCAAGGGGGAGCATATAGAGGGTGAAGAGGAGGGGACCGAGGACAGAGCCCTGAGGGACACCGCACGAGACAGTGCGGTGGGTGGAGGAAAAGCCATTCGTGGAGACAAAGTGAAGACGGTGGGAGAGGTACGACCTAAACCACTCAAGGACAGGGCCTTGAAGGTTGAGGTGGGAGGACAAGCGGTGGAGGAGGATAGCGTGGTCGACCGTATCGAATGCTGCCGATAGGTCGAGGAGGACGAGGAGGCAGAGGGAGCCCTGGTCACAGATGGTCAGGATGTCATTGGTGACCTTGACCAGGGCAGTTTCTGTGCTATGGGCAGCACGGAAACCCGACTGAAGGGGTTCGAATAGTGAATGGTTGGAGAGGAAAGAGCGCAGCTGGGAGGCGACAACTCGTTCCAGGACCTTGGACAGGAAGGGGAGGTTGGAGATGGGCCGGTAGCTTGATAGCTGCGACGCATCAAGGGAGGGTTTTTTTAAGGTGGGAGTGATGGTGGCAGTTTTTAAGGGAATGGGAATAGAGCCAGAGGAGAGGGACAGGTTGACGATGTCTGTGATATGTGGGGCAAGGAGGTGGAGCTGGGAGATAAGGAGTGGAGTGGGGATGGGGTCAAGGGAGCAGGTGGTGGGTTTCAGGGATAGGATGAGTTTGGTGACAGAGGGTGGGGAAACGGGTACGAAGGTGTGTAGGGGAGGATGGGTAGGAGTCGGAGTGTGGGAGGGAAGGGGTGGGTGGTGGGTGGATGTTGGAGGGGAAGTGACCGCGGAGCGAATTCCCTTGATCTTGGATTCAAGGAAATCCAGCATCTCCTCGCAGTGAAGGTTGGAGGAGATGACCTGCGCGGGGTGGCGGGGGGGACGGAGGAGTTGGGATGTGGTAGAGAACAGTAGCCTGGGGTTGTCCTTCGCCTCCAGGATTATCCTGGAGTAGAAGGACGATTTGGCCGAGGCTAGAGTGGAGCGGTAGATTTTGAGGAGGTCCAGCCAGATTTGTCGGTGGACCGTTAGGCCAGATTTGACAGGTGCGTTCAGCGGCCCGCACCTGGCTCTTCAGTGAGCGGAGGTGGGTGGTGAACCAGGGGGAGGAGCGAGAGTAGGAGACAGTACGGGAGGTGATAGGGGCAAGAGTGTCAAGTGTGGAGGAGAGGGTGTTGTGGAGGAGGGTGAGAGCAGAAGAGGGGTCGGTGAGGGTTGAAGGCCAGAGGGAGAGGAGTTCAGAGGACTCCAAGGCAGAGGTTAGGGATTGAGGGGGTAACTTCTTCCAGGGCGGTAGAAGATGGTGGTGGGTCTGGTGGAGGTGGGGAGGGGGTGGAGGTGGTGAAGGAGATGAAGTGGTGGTCGGAGATGGCCTTGTCGGTGATGGTGACATCCGAGACACTGAGGCCCCGGGTGATCACCAAGTCGAGTGGGTGGCCGTGACTGTGAGTGGGGGAGTTGATGTGGAGGGAGAGGTTGAGCGAGGAGAGCAGGGAAGAGAAGTCTGAGGAGATGGAGCAGGAGGGGGTGAAGTGCAGGTTAAAGTCGCCCAGGATGATGAGGCGATCAGAGCAGAGGCAGAGAGATGTGAGAAGTGTTGAGATATCAGAGATAAAGGTGGGAGAGGTTTTAGGGGGCCGGTAGAGGAGGAGGATTTTAAGTGA